TTTTGAATAGTGATATGATGGGAAATGTGTGGTTGAAAAAGAAGAAAAAAGTATTGATGTGATGGAAAATATTATTTTATTGAAGAATGTGTGGTTGAAAATGAGAATTGATTTACTGTAGAAAATGAGAAGTTTTACCAAACAGGCTCTAAATCAATTTGAGAAATGAAAAGGACAAAAGGGAAAAGAATAATAAAGATACGAGAAATCAATTAAAAAAAATGAAGAAAATTAGATAATTAAAGCAAGCATAGAATAATGTGTTTGCTTTAACTTCTTTGCATTTCCAAATACTTATTCCCCTTATCTTTTCACCCATTATCACTTTATTTAACTTCAAAATGTTCGAATTCGATGTAAGATATCGTTACTTTAAACGTAAAGTGTCAAGACTCAAGATATTTGATTGCTTGAATCACTTGTTTCCTACTAGCCAAATAAAAAATTTAATGCACTATAATACTATAAAACTCGATCTAAATGAAATTTCAGGTTACGGGTTTTATGCTCTTGCTTTTTTCATTTTTCCTTTATGATTACAAAGTTTTATTATTTCTTCCACTTTATTTTGTCAATTTTGAAGTTTCTAAAATAGGTTTGGATTAGACTTCTAATATTGTGAAATTAATTTATTAAATGCTATAAACTACGGAGAAATGAGAAGAAAATAGAGAAATCAATAAACTTACATTTATTTTATTCATATATTTATAGGAAAGAATTACGATTTGGGTACTATGATTATTCACTAATCTGTATTTAGTTTACAATATTGCTCTTGAATGATTCATTATACAATATTTATCTCGTTAAAAACATTATTTGATAAAAATATCAAATGAGGAGAAAAAAAAAAGTACAGATACTTTCGAGTATTTGAACAAATGTTACCTTATTAAACCTTGTCAGAAAAAGCTTGGAAAAGTTCCAAACCGTTTAATTTGCCAAACCAAACCATATTTTGCTGCTTGATTTGATTTTAAACCAATAAAAATAACATCTTTCAAAAGAGTGAACGTACTAGTTTCAAATTGAAACCTTCTAAACATATACACTACAAAATCAATATATTTATCTCAAAACAAGCTTAAACCGATACAAAATTTTATTATAATATTTAAACTTGCAATTCATTCATTATTTAAGTAAAATATTATCATAAATAAATTATTATTTTCTTAAAAAGCCAATAAAAGCTAATTAGTAAGCAAATTTGACGATGAGTAAATTAGTCTAATAAATAATATTTTGTGAGTAAAATAAATAATAAACCACTCGATTTGATACAAGTGATAGTTACAAAAATTTTAGTTTGGATTCGGTCCCCCTCAAAGTCCCTTAGAGACGGCCACGAGCAGCAAATCACCTTGGCATTAATAAACCCAATGAAGCTGTTAGAGATTCATGTACGACTCAATATGCCCAACATCTACGCACACGACAGGGAGGGAAACCCAACTAGCTACCCAGACGCAGAAAAGTAACAAGAAAATGAACGAGAAAGAAAGGGAATCCAAGAGAAGAAGAATTTAGGACCCGACACATTTCTCTCTTGGATAAAGCTACATGCCCAACATCTTATAGTCAGCAAGACGTTATAATAAAGCATTATAAGAATAGGAATAGAAAGCCTGTTTTGATTTCTCTGAAACTTTCATCATTCGATCAAACTACAAGTAAATTCCATTGCTCTGTGCTTCAAACTCTAGCACATATGCAACTACAATACGAAATTTCAATCATCATTTGAAAAAGCTATGGACACATCTGCTACAGTTCAACTTCACATTGTTACATAGATAATAACATCTTTGCTGAAGAAGTTAACAGTTACAAATCAACAAGTACACATTTGGGACGGGTTAGACAAGAACTCGGTAAGTAAGACAGATTCACCACAACCCGGCCAGCTTTAGGCGCGGTAAGTGTTCAACAGTGATAAGCAGGTTGGATTGTCCCTCAGCATTAACTTTCATTTAAAATGAATGAATTAGTAATTAACTATGCCACTTGATACTATACACACAGGACTACCAGCTCCCAATTTGCCGTCTATAGAAGCAATATCATAGCATATGTCATTCATTCTTCACGATACTTCTTTAAGTGCTAGATTCAGCTCCTGTGCAGACTTGGAAATTGAACCACCTCTTCTGCAAAACACAACCCGAGCAGATATCGAATCAATGTTGACTTTGTCCCAAATGAAAGCAGTAAATGATGAGAATCGCACACACCTTGAAAGGAGGGGCAGGCAACGCTTGACTTTCTCGAGTTCCACAAAGCACGTGTTGCAACGTTCCAGCCTTTGGACGAAAGTAAATAGAATAAAAACATAAAATCAACTGAGTAATATAGCTTGGGAAAAATAATCAAACCTTTGTTCTGCCTCAATATCCACACCAACAGACGATTGTGCCGACAATGAAGAATAGATCATTAAGCCAAATACTCTGACCAGTTTAATCAGCATCTCCAATGAAATATCTTTATGCCTAATGATGAGCAGTCCATTAGATTTGACATGAAAGGCACCAGCTAGTATTAGTTTTTTAAACAAATGCAAAAAAGATAACTGGTCAAGCTAGAATCACTATGGTATATTATTGTGTTAATAACCCAACCTTTAAACTAAAAAAAATGCCAATAAGGAAGTTAATTGATCTTTAAAAGCAAAGGGGTTGCTAACCCTAAACTAACTAACTACGGAAGATGCCATGTCTAGGAAAGTAAAAAACTCAACATCTTCCAAAATATTTATTTCCAGGAAACTATTGATAATCTTCTTATCAGAAATACAGACACGTGGCCCCATCTTGCAAATTTTGTTAATGGATGGAAATGTAAGAAATGGTAAAGAATGATGTAAGAGTTTGAGTTTCGTTTACCTATCCATGTCACTATCAAGTAGTCCTGAGAGCAGTGGCAAAAGACAAGTGCAAAGATCTAATGTGACAATATCAGTTTTTTCTGCTAGAAGGCACATTACATCAGCAAGCACCTGCATTCCGAAGAACATTCCGAAGAATATAAGAGTTTGTTTGCATTGAAAATGTGAAATTTACATTACATTTGTTCCGTTACTGGCGAAATAGAGGAAAAATGAACGGTCTTTTCTTTCCCACATACAGAAATAGAAATACAACACTTACACAATGATCAGCCATTTTCTCCAATGCACTAAGGGCCCCTTTGATATCATACCGTTGCCAGTAATTGTGGACTACCTGGCAAAGAGACAAAATCTGATTAAACGGTCCTATAGCTAAATTCCAACCACATTCTTTAACGAGACAAGAAATCAATTTCCTCGACAAGATCAAAAGATTAATAGGGAGAATTTCTTCAAACGTGTTATCCCTTATGGATATAATTTACAGAAGTCGGATTCAAGAATGAAAAAGTATCCACGGAATAAAACATAAGACTAACTCGCCCCTTTAGTATTAAATGCACTTAAACTTCCGGCAATATTTGTCATATTGATCCTCAATCACATTTAGTAGTTCATTCGATTGGGAACATCCAGATCTTCTATCATAACATGCAACATCGTATTTAAGAAAATGGTATCAACTAAACGTCCCCCACTCTAATCCTGCCCTCTCGACCACCATAATGAATAAAGTAGAATAGGGAACCTATGACATTACACAACAACAACTCACCTTTGCTATTACACTAGTTAGAGAAATGTTTCCTATCAGAACAAAAAACATTTGCTTCTCAGCAGCAAATGAGAAGCAAAACTGAACATGAGAAAGCTGCATGCATTATCAGCAGCAATGAGCATCTGAATTATACTTTTTTCCAAAACATATTAACTTCCACAAGTATATTATAACTTCTACTTCAGATACGATCCCATATCTCTACAATAGAAACAAAATGTAAGAGGGAATTTCTTCAAGAGTTACTTTGCTTCTATTTGCTAAAAATATGCTCCAAATAAATTCTCTTCTTCACCATGACCTTGAATCTAACCATTTAGATAATGAAGTTCACTTTTCAAGGATACCAGACAGCAAAATGTATGGCTTGGATAGGGGTGGACATGATCCAGTTTGCTTTGGGGGGTTTTTTTCTTTTTCTTTTTTTTTTTTTTTGGAAGTTTAAATCGCATCATACAAAATATACTAACTATTTTGGAGAACACGTTAGTTCTAGATAAAATAGAAGAATCAGACCTAGCATCAGCCATCCTTGTAGCATTTCATTCCTTCAGATGATGTTTTACATTTGTGTTGCAGGTTAGAATGTTGTTATATTTGCTGAAAAAAATGCCGACATTGTAGGTGGTTTCTTTTATGCTGGGGTTGCTCCCTACTACCGGAAACACGTCGAATCATGCTCTTTATGTTTGCCACTTGTAATTGTATATTTCAGTTTGGCTTCCTAAACTTTTAACTGAACCATAGCCTCTTACAGAGTTTCACAAAATAATCTTTTGCTTTAGTTTAATATACTAAAGAAGGCCTTGATCTTCATACACGCTACTATTTTGGCCTGAAAAGTAACTTGTTGGACAGTGGATAAATCCCAAGATCCTAGTCTCGAGTATTCTATAGGAGTGTGCATTCTAAGGATCTTTCTGAACGAATCAGGTGGATTCTCCACTTCGAAAGTGCGTAGACTTACAGCAGCACGTGAATCTAAGAACAAGGATTTGAAGTAATAACACTAAGAGGTACCTGTAATTTGGCTAAACGAGACTGCATTGAGCCAACAAATTGGTCATGCTGTTCCATCAAGTCAGCAATAGCATCCTCCTCACTAGCGGACACTGATTCGTTTTCGCCAGTTGACGGATAGCCTCTCTGTCATGGTAGACATGAAGATAAACACATAAGTGATACATAAAATGGATAGTAAGGTAGATAGTGCTAATGCCTACTTCTAAATTATGTTACATGAGCTAGAATTTAGACACTGACAAATTAAAAAATATCATTGCAATGACTCAAAATGGCCTTGACAAACTTTTAAAGCAATTATCAGAGAACAAAAGGGTCAATATACATGGTAATTGCACGTTTGAACATAAAGTCAGCTTACATGCTACTCATATAAATGTATATCTTCCTAAAGCAATTATCAGAGAACAAAAGGGTCAACATACATGGTAATTGCACGTTTGAACATAAAGTCAGCTTACATGCTACTCATATAAATGCAAATCTTCCTAAAAATTATGATGTTATCTAAATTTTGTATTGAAATAACTGTATACTTGGGGTTAAAAGCATAAACTTATGATACCCAAAAAAATAAAATTAAAAAATACATAAAAAAAATAAAAAAGAATAAAGAAACCAAGGAAAGCAGTATGGAGAATTGCATTCATTAAATAATGCATAAAGCAAAATCACCAATGAGCTCCCAAACTAAAATTCAAGCAATAATGATATCTATTACAACTTGTCAATGGCAACGAGGTGGGTATGGGACGGATTAGCTATTCCCACCCCCGTCCCGTCGGGTATTTTTATCACCTTACCTCATTCTCATATACGATTAAAGTTGGACGGGGTGGGTTTCTTGCCTCATTTATTGCCCCATTATTTTTTCTTTTTGTTTTTTATTTATTTTATTTTTTCCTTTATTTTTTTTTATGTCTTTAGTTAATAAATATTATTACTTTTGTTCAAATTTGTTAAGAACAACTTATATTCTCTTTAAAAATGATGATAAATCTTTTATTTTTGTTTGATAAAAAACTCAAATTCAAAATTAATTTTAAATGGGGCGGGGCAAGGGCTATGTTTTTTGTACTCGCCCCGTACCAGCCTCGTACCCCCTTCGGGGCAATGACCTCGCCCCGTCCCTGCCCAGTTTACCCGATTAGACGGGTAATCCCCCTCCTATTCGGGACAGGGCCCCACAGGTTTTTTTGCCATTTCTATCAGGAAGGTGAAAAACTAAAGCACCAAGCCATAAAAGGACCAAGAAATTTTCTAATTCCTTTCCACAACTACTATAGACGGTATTTGTAACACCCGAAAATTTTCTGGAATAAAATTTGTTCTATATGCTATATTTGTTTTTACAATTTTGAGAGTTGAGGGACTAAAGTGAAATAGATATAAAATGTTTTATTTTTCTTAGGTCTAATTATTAGATTTTGATAGAACAAGTTTTAGTATATCAATATTAGGCTCATTGAGTAGTTCGTATTAAATGACGCACCATGGACTCAAGAAAAAGTTAATTCAAATAAGTTAGGCCCAAGTACTGAAGTCCAAAGAAATTAACTTTAATTGGTAACTTATTTAAAGTTGGTTGATGATTTAGATTTCTATGACAGCCATGATTCATGTAGGATAAAGGTTAATTGTTAATTATAATCCTAAATTGATTTTGATAAAGTTCAATGGTAATCCTATTTTTGATAGCTATCAATTTTAAATTATGATCATATTCTATTTGTGACAAGTGTTAATCATATATTTGATATGTTTCAGACTTCGGTATTGTTATCTAATTAAATTAGGAACTATTAATTTATATTAATTACCCTTTTCCTAACCTTCCACATGTGATGTCTTATTAGAAAAGAATTAGTGGAGAACAATCCAAACACTACCTTTTTCATTTTTTCAATTTGTATACTAGTTTTCCCATTCCAAAAGTTGTCTCCATGTTATTCTATCAACATATTATATTGAAGGGGTAATTATGGCTTGTAGATAATCATGACCCTGAAAAGTGAGACCTATTTGACTAGCGGAACACCTATTGTACCAAAACTCTATGGTCTTTTTCAACTATAAAATTTCGTGTCAAAGGCCTCATTATTCACCACGAGAGAGATTATACATACACGGCAGAAAGAAATCAAAGGCTAGAGAGAGAATCCAATAATATCATCGTATAGTATATTTTATTCATATAAGGCGGAGAGAGAAAGGAAAAGAAAGCAATTTTCACGTGCATTATTTTACATTCCTTTACAACTTTTTCAAATCTATCAATATAAGATACTTATGTGCAAATGATTTGTTTATTTATGATTTTATGTATTCAATTAAATATGCATGAATTGTCAGTGACCTTCGAGTTCTTTATAAATAGACATGTACTCCTTCGAGAATTTAAGATGACCTAAGATGGACATCTCGCTTGGTCAATGATATACTCCATAAAAAAGAGTGGTATGAAGTGTTTATTTTATTATTATATAATTGTGTATGGAAACTGCATATCTTATTGGATATTTTTAAATACTCGCTCTTACAAAAATTTCATAGGTTAGTTCGGATCGACTGGATTTGTGGCATGATGGTGATGTGGACTGTCAAGAATTTAAAGAAATACAATTATTAGGTTTTCTATCTTTAATTGATTAATTGGTTTCATTTATATTCAAGGACATGTTTATTTAATAAGTATTGAGTACATTTATTTCGAACGATAAAATTTTAATCTTTAGTTTAAGTTCATGGATAACCCATATTTTTATTAAATAAATTATTTTAGTCGATTCATATTTAATGTAAAGAAAAGTCGATTTTTGATAACCATTCAAGGTTTATAAAAATTTGAAGTGTTATACAAAATAATTCTCATTCTACCACACAGCTAATTCTTGAATTCTAGCCTAATTCCTAACTAGCCAAGTTAAGTCCAACCAAGTGTTACNAACCCCCTCCCCCCCCCCCCCCCCCCCCCCCCCCCCCCCCCCCTTCAAAAGTCCATATTTAGATTTAATCGGAGACTTCTAGCATTGAAGGTAAAAAGGAATAAAAACATCATTGGTCAAATGTGTTATATGAGCATAATTGAAGTAGGCATTTGAAGGAACTCCTCATTACTTTACCAATCCCCCTTAGAGTTTAGAAATACTACTATGAAAATAGAAGAGTGAATAAAACCCAGAATCAAATGTTAAAAAGTAAGTTGGAGTGTACTTACAGAAGGTAAGTTTTGAGAGAGAGCGCTTGAAGCTAGAACTGCATGATTAGATATTCTGTCTTTCTTCTCCCAATTCGCAGCAAGTCGTGTTCTACCTAAAGTTGGTTCAGAAGCCATATTCATTAATCATTAAGAAAGGTAGTTAATTGCTTGCTAAAGCATCCATTAGAAAGGTAGTTATACCTCCTTTTTTACTTTCCATGAGAGAGGTATCCCCATGCAAGTTGTTCCCACAAAATTCATCTGCAACCAATAGGAAAACTGATTACCAAAACAAGTAAAGCAAACAATTTATCTACAAAGATACATGGCAGACTAAAAATAAAAAAACTCAACGACTATCAGTTAATAATACAGCAAGAACAGGCAACAAAGAAAAGGAAAACCAGTTGGACATAATCAAAATAAGTATTAGTGACCTAGGGGGTGTTTGAGACCCATTATTTTTGAAGAATGTATTTTGGAATAGTAGATTGATGGATAATTTGTAGTTAAAAAAGGAAAAGTTTTTGATTTGCGTGTAATATTATTTTAATGAAGAATGTGTGGTTGAAAGAAGCGAGGGAAAAATGGGAATCAAACATCCCCCTAATAAAAAAAACTCATTGACTCCAACAAGAAAATCCATGTGCTTTGACCTGTGCCAAATAAGGCCTCAGTGTAGGTGTTATGGTCCATAATACAACCAGTTTTACAATGAACCTTGACGAGGCATTACGTGACAGCATCAACCGCTGCATTTGACAAGATGTAGCACATATTCATAAAGTGACTGGAAGACAAGGCTGGATAAGACAAGATGTAGCACATATTCATAGAGTAGATCACACAAGGTGAAGGATGAGATGAAAAGGTCGACGTACAACTTTCCCGCTGGCATGTGGCAAGAGCGTCGACCGCTGCATCTGTTTCCATTTTTCCAGAAAGCATACGTTTATCATCCTTGGCATTTCTCTCAGCTGCAGGAACCCCAATAATTGAGCCCCTAACTTCAGTAAAAGGACTCCTATTTGAAACCTCGCTAGAATCAATAACCTTTGGGGCCTCACTTTCAGACAATGAAGAAATAGTAGACCTCTCCAAGTCATCTCTGACAGGCGAAAATTTTCGAACATCTGATGTTTTTGACTGCATGGATAGTGGCAGCGTTCTAAGTGGGGCTCCTTCTTTTCTTTGTTCAGCAGCCTGCTCTATTCTCGGATTATTTCTTGGTACAACCACAGGTATAACCTCTGATCTGTTGAATACTGAAATATTGGCTGTTGACGGGACCTTTATAGAATGCCTCTTGGGGGCTGTCACATTGGTAACTGCTACTGAATTGATTTGAGTGGTTCTTGGAACAACACTGAGATTTCCCCTTTGTGGAGTTGCAGGGGCATTTACAGCAGCTTCATGCAGCACATACAATGTTAATACATCTTAAGAATCAAACTCGGTAGAGAAAGGAAATTGGACAGACAAAAGGATAAAATACCCAAATTAAGCTGTTAAAGAAGTCTAAAAAAGAATAATCTGAAAAATGGTTACTAAATTAACCACAAATCCTAAACTAGACATATTAAAGGATAGCTTACATGCAAGAGATTTAGAGTCCCCATTCAGATCTGAATTCTGTGAGACAGAAAGCCTTGCAAGAGGTCTAGTTTCCTTCGCAGAATCAGAATTTTGTGAAATGGAAATCCTGCCCAAATTGCCCCCAATAGTGTCCTCAGTTAGTATGGTGGACCCACCAGATTTAGATTTAGGCTCTGAGTTGTTCAATCGAGCAGCACTACCAATTTCATATGGTTCAATACGCTGCCAAAATCATATGGTTGCAATATAGTCATTAATTCAAATAAGAAGATTAAGAGCAGTGGACATACTGAAAAATAATAATAATAATAATAAATCATACCGATATGTCTACAACCCATACTCCAACACAACTTTGGTTATATGAACATCCAAGAAGCTTCCCATCATGAACATTGAGATCTGATAATCTGGACCACCCCACATCTACAGTATCATGACATCTAATTGGTTCCCATGAAAAGACCTACGGCAACAAAAATTAGTACAGAAAAAGTGTGACAAATGACAATACTTCAATCTATTATTTCCCAATAAACATAAAGCATGCAAAAAGCATACCTTCAAGTTCTCATGCAAGCCACAAAGAAGAGTTCTCCCATCAGGATTAAAGGTCATACAACGCACTCCTGTGGACTGGTTTGAAACAAGTAAAAAGTAGTTATTTCAAACTCATCAGATAATTAAGAAGGTTGGTTTTAAACTTTGAAGGCAACAGCAAAAATTTCAGCCCATTGATAAGCTGTAAAAAGCAAAGATTAGTAGGAAAAGATATCAATGACATCAAAGAACAGATACCTCAGGCCCAGCTGAACCTATTAGTTCAAAAGTTTCAAGATCCCAGAACTTAACAGTCCTGTCAGCTGAACCTGCCAAAAGAAAGGTCATTAAGTATTTATTAGGAGATCAGTAAAGACAACCTTGACTCCAGATGTAAATGAACGAATATATATATGGCAGTCTAATGGTCTACAATAAACCCCACATTTTTAGGCTCAGATAGAAAAGCATCTTCTGCCACAACATAAGGTGGGTGAAAGTTGATTTTCTACAGCTTCAAAGGTAAAAAAGAGACAGTTGATTCTCAAACACAGTGTAATATAGGTTCAGGAGTGAGTTTAAAAAATGAAGACCTCAAGTTTCTGCCTGTCAGAAAGTAACCATCTCACAAACTAAGATCCTGATATGTAGCAACCACATTACGGGTGACAAAAATAAATTAATGTAGCAGCCTTCAAGAACAGCATGATTATGGTTATGAAAATCAATAAGTGAGTTCACAAAGGGCATAAATGGATAAGGAAGTGAAAATTTGTATGAAAGCATGATGTAGCTTTAAAATCAAATAACATAAAATATGCTCCATCTCTATTTCCTCCCTTCACAAATGTAATAGAACATTTTCAAAAGCTAAGAGTGGTGAGCCTCATTTTTGTAGTATCTTATGTTTAGCAGCTTGTTTTGGTTATCCAAGTTTACCTGAAACACATTAAGTCACAAATGCTTTATTGACAGTCTTACGAGACTCAAAGAGATTCTAACAACTCTCAAGACATGTAAAATACTCCCCAGCATATAATGGTAAACAGGTTTATGAACATTTTACAGCATCCTAGAGCTATTTTGGCACTATTTATTGGAATCAAGAACCTATGGGTTTGTGGGACTCTAGGCAGTAGGCATTAATGTCTTCTCACTTCTCATTCTATCTTCTACCTATCATATTTTTCATCTTCTGCACTAAGATACAAATTCAACCAACAGTATCTCGCATTGAAAATCCTATTCAGAAAGGCTATGCCAGTCTTATAAAAGGCACAGAACCTGAATCATGGTTTAAATTACAGATAATTGATAAGTTCTAAAGAATCAAAAAGAAAGGGAAACTTCCAGAGAAGTTTCCAAAATGCAATGGTTTACATATAAAATTGACAAACTATTCCACTGTCTTTCAAATAATGGTTTAACCTTCATCACTTGAAGAATGGAACATAAATATTTCAATACAATCTTTACTGATAATAATTGTTTGTAAGAAAAATAAAAAATACAATTGGTTTTTATTTTAATACCTATAATTTAAAAATTACTCTTCCGTCTTGTCTTTGCATCCTCTTAAATTGAAATGTTTGTGCTGTTTTGATGGCTATGTGGCAAAACTTTGCCAAACCACCATCAGTAGTACTGCTGTTCAGGGCCTTCAACAGGCCCACCATTGTGATTTATCAAAATTTTAAGTTGATCTATGAACCAGTAATATGACATGTACAGTTGCTGAAGTAGAAAATCAAAAATGTTGGCAGACAGCATACTATTCAGAACATTAGTTTTGCAGATCTATCAATTCAACGAGTATAGTTTCCAACCTGTGGCCAGCAAAAATTCATGGGGATGGAAATCAATGCATTGAACCTGGCCCTCATGACTTTTGAACTCATGCAACAGCTTGCCCGCAGTTAAATCCCACAGCTGTACACAGGAATTTAAAAGGGCTGAATCGTAAAAAGGCTTTGTACCAGAATTGAAGAAAAAGGGATATAAACAACAATGTTAAGAACATCAATAAATAATTTACATAGACTTATATTAGTTTGCTAGCAAAAACAAGACATTTGACCATGTGATAATGATTTAAACGTGGAAAAGAGAGTACAAAAAATACGCCAAGATGTATAGCAGTTGAATGTTTTCAAATTCCCCCATCTCTCCTAGAAAAATCACAGGCACGATGATGGGAAACCAAAAGGAAAAAGAACACCAAGAAATTGAAAGATCTAACCTTCACGGTGTTGTCCTCTCCACCAGACACCACCCAGCGGCCATCGGGTGTAAACCTGATGGCATTAACGCCCCGTGTATGACCCTTGTATGTATGTAAACACCCTTTTCTTCGAATATCCCATATTTTTAGATTTGTGTCCAGAGATCCAGATGCAAAGAACTCCCCAAAGGGATGGAAGTCCAACGATATACAATTGGAGCGATGACCAGTGAGAGTGCGAATAACTATAAATCGCACAAAAAGTAAAGTCAAACATAAAGTGATTTTCTTCTGTTTGAAAGGAATGATAATGTACAACTCATCATGTATAAATAAATGGTTACAGAATGCATACTCTTAGCCTCCTCTAAATCCCAAAGCTTAATTGTACCACTTGCTGCTCCAGCAGCAACCAACACCTCCGAAGAATCAAAGCTTACGGAATCAACTCCACTCGAATGACCCGACAAACTCTAGCCAGTGAACCACGGGTACAATAAACAATGAGAAAAGATAAGGGGCAAGGTGTCATTATTAATAATGCTTCTACAAATATAGTGACGGCCAGAAAAATGGGAAAAAAAAAGGTTGAATTGTATGAAACAAGAATCTATCAGATACGGCAATCCATAGTTTCATAATGAAACAAGGAGTGGTTCCCTTAAGCTATAAAAAAGGTGATGCAGGTATAATAAATGAGATTAAGAATCATCCACAGGTTAAGTTATCATACTGCCTGCAAGTGGTCACAGTTCGAGTCTTTCAGATTGGGATTGAGAAGGGGAAGGGTCTGCCCTCTGTTATGCAGTTTGTAAACCCAAAAAAGTGCAGTATAACATAAGAAGGTTGAAACAAGGTATAAGAAAATATCAAGGCCCCAAAAAGAAAATGTAAAATGAGAATTGAACTCACCTGTATGGCATTGGGCTTGCCAATGGCCCAAAGGTTGACCTTATGATCTTCTCCTCCAGTCACAAGAACCCTTGATGATTTCCTCCCAATCTTTAAGCAGTTTACACTTGAAGAATGAGCTACGAATTCCTCTGAATATACCATTAAGGCTACCAAACTAACAGTTCAGCCATACAGTTTAGTGTTTTCCTTTAATTGTCATCTCTTATTGTGGTATATGCAGTGTTTCACAGCTGAGGCCAGAAAAACCAGAAGCTGCACTTGATACCCTTGTTTCTCAGTGATTCAAAGATTGTGATGCTCTTATTAAAGGGCAACCCTAGCTAATTTTACTAATGGTTTGACTTCAAAAGTTTTTTGTTCATCTACTCAAAATCTTGCAGCCATTCCAGTTCAATTTATTCATATTTGTAAACAGTTTCATCCACGGGATCCAGGTTAGCCATTTGCCAATATCAATTCTTAGTTCTCCCCAATCTTCTATGCAATCAATTTCAAATGCCTCATCACCAAAAAAAAAAAAAAAAAGAGGGGGTAGGGAAACCCCAAGAGAAAAGAAGAAGAAATATCCACTTTGGTATTTACTCATTTCATACAATTAATTCCTAAACACAACTCCTCCACTTAAGCACACTACATCACACTATCAAGAGAAGTCTTTCGTAATAAAAAAAATGTTTAGCTAAAAATGTAGTCCAAGCAAAACACAAAATGCCTTAACATCAATAATAATAAAATTAATAATCGGAAACAGAATAATGTGATAGAGCCCAAAAGTTTCTTTCCTCTAGATTCATTCAAATTCACCGCAGTTTCCTTTTCTCGATTGGAATTTAATATTCGAAAAAATTAATAAGAAAGTTAGAATGAAGTAAAAAAGGATACGTAGCTTATAAGCACGTTTGGTGGTGGTCGTCATTTGCAAGTCTGAACAATCGGGGAACAAAAAAATACGAAGCGGCAGAAAACCCTAGCACAAACTCCAGCTCTGCAGAAATGGAGACGACGCCGTAATACTGTGTTGGCTCATTCCAGATCTCAAAATGCACTTGCCCGCACTTGCATCGATTTGAAATTTTACACTTTTGCTCTGCATTCACGCCATATCATGAGAGTACAAAATTTACTGTGAAGATGAGCCCAATTAGTCTGAAATCTTTGAATCTCTCTCAGTTTTCTTCAATTTTTACTCGATGAAACAGAAAATATGAAGTTGTAAGAGTAATTTTAGCAGAAAAGGTGAATTTGTGAAAAAACAAAAATCAAACAAGCATAGAGAGAGAGAGGTGGGAGGAGGTTGGGAGAAGAAGAGAAATTGTTTTCAACATCCCTGCTTCATAATCACAGAAGACAACAATAATAGTTATGTCATATCATATCATAAAACTTCAAAAAAAAAAAAGGTTCATTTGAAAAACAATCATAATTATTAATTATTTTTTCTTAATGCTACATTTTGATATTTCTTAGGGAAAATTGCTGCACTAAGCCACTCACCTATGAGAGTAGAAGCAAACTTGTCCTCAATCTAGTGCTAGCTTTGTCTTCACTTACTAAACCATAAGTCTACTAGCTAAATAAAGGGTAATGGGTGCAATGCTAACATTTACATGTTTTATGTAATATACTAGTTTTTCGTCCGTACAATGCACGGACTGTGTTATTTTTAAGATAATGTTAGCGTGCTGAAATATTGTATCATGGATGGCAAATCTGTACAATTAAATAGCAATAACCTATACCGAGTAATTGATAAACCTGCATATATTGCACATCCATGAAAGAACAATAGAAAGAACCACAATTTCATAAATTTGCACACTCCAGCGTCATTTTGTCAAGCAGCATACCATAATAAGGATATTTAGGGTGTGTTTGACACTCATTTTGGAGAAAAAATTGATTTGAAATAGTGATTGATTGAAAAATGTGTGGTTAAAAAGTAAGGAAAATTTTTTTGTTTATGTGTAATATTATTTTATTGATAGAATGTGTGGTTGAAATGAAGAAGGAGAAAAAAATGAGAATGAGAATAGAAAAAAATGGATTTCAAACAAGGGCTTACATGTTAAGAGACTCATATTATTAGACTCGTGCTGGAAGTAATACCTTTACCAAAAGGTGACTTCCTGGCAATGATGTGAAGAACCTTAGTAGGCATTATGACTGATCCATTGACCCTCAGGCCCTTGTCTTTAGCACCACAAACCAAATGAACACTGACTGTAAACAAAAACAAGTGAACAGAGTATCAAAGTAGACAATTATAAGGATCGTTATAATCAAAAACTATATAATAACCAAAATTAAACACATCGTTAAAGCATAAAAGTCATTTTCATATGTAATGAATCATATCCAATAACTATAACAATTGTTGGTGATTAGATTGGAATATGAAACTTTGGGTTTCGCGAAAGACTATCTACAAACTATCACAAAACAGGAGTTATGTTATATAGTTTCATGAGTGATATTGTACACCCTTTAATTACAAAATAGTCACAACAAAATTCTAAGCAATGCCTTTGATCCAAAAATGAAAGGTGCTAAAAAATTTAAGCATTTAATTACTGCAAAAAGTGATATTCTCAATCAATCCCCCGATCAACCTCTGATTATTTTAGGAAGCTTTTGTTAATAAAAACCACCCTAACAATACTAAAAGCACAAAATCAATTGTTTTTTAATCTTTCACCCACAAGAGAAAAAAACCAAGTTGTTTATCGATTCGAAAAAACTATAAATGAATACAAAAAATAGAGGCTTAAACTCTTCTAGAGAATAAAGAAATTAAGAAATACGCTCCTGAAAATCAGAAAAAGTATATCTTCAATCTTTCCAAACGGAAAGAAATAAACTATACAACAAGGAAAATAGAAAATCAATCCAAAAAAGACAGAAAGAAATAAACATTGAATGAATAAATACGATAAATATGCAAAGAAGTTGAGAAAAAGACCTTGGCTTCAAGTTTAGCAATATAGGCTATCAGAGAAGCATTATCTCTGTGTTTGATGGACTCTTCATCGAATCCCGCTTCTTTGAGGTTTTTTCATATGGCTTTATCGCTTCAAGGGATTTCCATAAACTCTTCCATGAGCATAGAATGCTGCATATGAAGCCCCATAAGGTCGCATCATAGACTATAACATAAAGGAGTGAGTGTTAATATTACTTCAAATGGACAATTTCTGCAAATGGCTTCAAATAATAGAATCAAGCGAAAATTGCATCCCACCTATAACCCAAATAAAATATAATTATATAAATGCATGTGCCCGCATGCATAAAGTTTAAGAAATACCTATGGTAGCCCCCACATATACATAGGTTGAGCATGATGACAGTTTGTGAAATGAGAATGTAATAGGACAAATAGCAAGAGAACTTCGAAAAGGAGGATAAAACTCTAAAAAGTTGTGGTTTTCAATGTTTAAATTTTGAAGGCCTCTGAGGATGTAAATTCAGGCTTAATGCAACAAAAAATGGAAAATCGTGCAAAAGAAAAAAGGCCAAAAATTTTGCGAGACCAATATATTCAAACTGGGCAATGTTTCTTTCTTTCTTTTTTCATTTTTTTTTTTTTTAATTGAACATTTTAAGTTATAGAAATTATAAGGTCAACAGAATGCAGATTAGATCACAAGACTTAAATCATCCAAGATGAATCATTAGCATTATATTTAAGGTTAATTAGTTTGACCATAATCCTTTGAAATCAAGTTAGATCAAAAGCAATATCAGTTAAGCTAATACACGAAGATCAATCCTAAATCAATTTTGAGAAACGTTAAAAGATGAATTATTGATCAAAATTATATAATAAGTTCAGGACTATCAAGATATTCTGTACATTGGTATAAAATTGGAATGACAATCTGAATCAAAAAAGGATTACGACATTCACCTCTCATTTCACGATACTATTCTCGTTGGAGCTCCACATATGCGGGCAAGGGCGAAAATTCTTCCGTGCACACATAAATTTAAAAGTATACATACATGAATTTATGCACATACATACACCAAGGAACGAACTAAAATAAAATAGAAGAGGAGAACAATGAGAAAACCCCATACTCCAAAATATAATTTATTGAGACTTATAACAGTTCAATAGCAGTGAATATAATTTTATCAAAATAAAGGGAGTTCTCAATTTATTGTGTGTTAAAATTACACTAAATACTAAGCCCATGTTTGGCTCCCATTCCCATCCTCATTTTTTTTCATTTTTTCATTCCAACCACACATTCTCCCAATAAAATAATATTATACACAAATCTAAATCTTTTCATAACTTTTTCACCACACATTCTCCCATCAATCACTATTCCAAAAATTCTATATCCAAAAAATGGGTGTCAAACACCCTCTAAATAACATTAAATCAACCACGAAAATTGTTTACCTCCCCATTTTGCAGGGTCCAATTGGAAACTTTCTAAAGCATGCTTCTGACAACAATGTCTCTGCCACGTGAATGCACCTTAACATAGATAAATCAAGTTTCACAAGATATAAAAAAATACCAATAACACATATTTACAAATGACATTAATAGACACTGAGGTATGTTGTTTCTTATATATATTTAAGGCACAGCTATAAATACTATACTCTCTGCTTATTTTGTTTTTTCCCTTTTGTTATAATATAAAAGGGAAATAAGGTGCAAGTTACAATTTTCGATCCCAACATATCAACTCTTGACGATAGATTCATTTTATTCAAGACACATTTGATATCCAATGCAACAGTTAGATACACACCACAAGAAAACAATAGGTAAATTCCAATGGACAATATCTGGAACAACCAGAATACAAGAGCTGCAGGAAGACCATAGTGCACTGTTGTCTTCTACATATGTGTTTACTCCCTTTTATCAAGTGTAGGATTACATGGACACAAACACTGACATTTGTAATTTCTAATATCTTCATTTTCCATTATTATTACTTATTATTTTTATACATACACCTACTAATTATTTATTTGTTCATTTGCCAATATTTTTAGCTATCATTGGAGCAGTTATTGATATTCGGCCAAAAAAGATTGATTCAAACGTATTTTGGATCACAATCTTATGTTCATGATGTGATTATTGTGAATGATGAGTTTGTACATCTACTTAGTTTATTATATTTGTATCAATCTATTCAATAGGACTATTCTAACTTCTAATCTTTTTCCACAGATTTCAAATAATAGTATTAACTATGTGGAATGGTTTTGTGGAGAGAGAATGTTCTCTTATTTCAAATAATTTAATTAAGAGACCAATAGTTGTTGGAAAACAACTTAAAGTATCACCATTTAACGGTAAGCTTTACATAAATATATTCATTCAATCTTTCCTTACCTACAAATTTGCACTTAATTATTACGACGGGCCTTTCAATATCCACAAAGCCAAGCAGCTCTTTCATTATTGACCCTCCATTTGAACAAGCTACTCAATTGAAGTCATGATAGTTGATCTTAAGCCTTTCTTCCTTAGCTATTGTTTTACAGCAGTAAAAAATGCTTATTTGTTTACTATAGTTGTTAGTATTAAATCATTGCTCAACGAAATAACTTTAGCAGCTTATTCATGTTAGAGTTAAATGATCATTGAACAAAAAAAACGTATTGTTTTAACCAATTTTTAGGTGTTTAATTTGATTTACTGTTTTAATCAATGTTTTATATAAAGGGTGGATACGAATGTTCAAAATCTCAACGACATTGTAGCAAAAAAGTGTTATTTTGAATTGACTTCCTCGAGAGTATTTGTTCCAAAGAAGACAAAATCACCCAGATAAGAAATATATAGTCTTTTACTTGTGATGAGTGGTTGTTATATTAAATATTTACATGGTGTAGTTTCATCCTATTCCTTTTCCAACATATTATTTATTCTATTATTATAGCAAAACTAATTTTGGTTAAGAGCAAATGCAGATATCACTCATCATGATCAATTATTCTGGTATATGTCTTGCAACAACTGCAATAAATCTATTTATGTTGATTTTGACGAAATCCATTGCTGCTCATTCTGCAAATATTCTCAAACTCGTGCTATTCCAAGGTCATAGTGAATTTAATACAATACATGTTTTTCAACTCCTATATCATCTATCAATTGTATATGAATGCTATGTTTTGTTAATAACAGAGCAAGAGCGTTTATCAAATTGCAAGACTCTTCGGGATGTATTCATGCTACAATGATAGGAGAGCCTATCGAAAAGTTCTTACAGTGCTCTACACTCATGCTAATGAGAGAAATTGTTGAGGTGCATGTCTTAGTATAAAAATATATTCAATTGTTATTGCACTATCATGCATTCATTTACATTTACATTATTAGCGTTCATTTTTTCCTTTTTCCAGGAAACTGTTCCAGAATCAATTGTCCCTTTGCAAAATGAAGAGTTGTTTTTTCTATGTCAAAGCTATGAAATGGAAAAATGAAGAATAGTAGAAATACGATGTCATCTTTGTCATAGACGAATCTTCAACAATAACAAAAAGTCCACATAGCAGCGGTGCAACCAAGCCCTGTGACCTTTGTATTAGGCAAAGTATCTTCATAGTCACCCGTTTCAACTCGGGCTTCATGTATATCAGCACAATGCCCTTGAAGCAATTGGGGATCATCATGCTCAATACCCTTCCAGAAAAAAACTAACGTAGTACTTCTTATTTTCTTCTTCGTCAGATATTTCTCCCCTCACCAGCTTATCGTGTAACTTAGCTTTTTAGAATAACTCTGCAGAAACTGAAAAACATATACACAACGAGAAGAAATTCAATAAAGAATACACAATAAGAGCATCAAAGGAACAAACCTTGGGTATTTCGGGTTCGATTTCTAAAAAGATCGAAAAACATGAAAAAAAATATCGCGAATTGAGCAATATAATTAAAGAAGTCGTAAGAAATAAAAAGAAGAGGAAAAAATTGAAGCACCGAAAATTATACTTACATGTATATCTCTCATTTTGGTTTGCTTTGTCGAGAAAGGAACCCATCAAAAGCAAGAAAACGAGAAGAGAAGAGGAGAGAAAGCAGGACACACTTTATAGGGAAGATATTTTGATGAATAGTGGAAGCTTGTTAGTGGCAGCGTGTAGAGGTTGCTCTCTGCGCTGCCCGAGGAAGATAAAATGGGATTAAAAAAAAGATTTACAAATGAACAGTAAATAATGTATTGACTCTTTTAAGATAGTATGGATAATATAATCGTAACATTTTTCATTTCGGTGCAATACTCCTTTAGATCAATCGAACCATGTGGAATACAATATTTTCGTCCTTTTATTTTTAATAAAACTTTATGAAATGACGAATTTACTTTCCTCTTCGAATAAAAAAATAATAATTGTAATTATAGTCCAACACTTTTCAAAAAATTTACGAATGAGTCACAATTAAAATAATTAAACAATTGTTCTAGTCACATGCATTGACCACAATATTTTCGTGTCATTTTGTACAAAAATGAGACTATGACCTAACATGTTGTGTGATTATGACTTATAGATTATATGACCGTAACACTCAATCACAAAACTATGACAATCTATCTACATTAATTAAAAAGAAATGATTTAATATAAACTTTTGAATATCAATTTTACCCTTATATTTTTTTACTTTTGACAACGATGGCTTAAATATGAATGCATCATAATGGTTAGTAGGTAATAATTATAGTCCAAAAATTAATTATAATTCAACTTCATGTAATTTCCATTAAGCTCCTATTTTATAGGAGATTAGATTTTTAATAGATTTTGATAGAAGTTGATGAAATATGTAGTTTAAAAATTGTGGAAACCATAAAATATGTTGTCAAAACTAACTGTAGATTTTGATTTAGATTAAAATCTAGATTTGGATATCAAAACGGGGGCTAAGTATAAAAAGAAAAAGTTATAAATTATATTATTTTATTTGAAATACTCAATATTATTTTAATCACTTCAAAATCAGCTCATCTATATATAATCATATTTTGTAATTATAATAGAATAGTTAAAAAATCAAAATTTCATTTGAAATTGTAAAGGATAACACTTAAAGGTCAAGAAATGGTTGTGAAAATAGAGAGAAGTGTTGTCAACCTTAAAGACCTTAATAATCAGGAGTTATTTGTCTTAACATATTTGTAACCTTCATTCACATATCTCCCTTAGAAATTAGAAAGAAATCTGTAACATTTTCAGATTAATTTAAAAATTGATATTTTTTGTTATTTTGCATTAAATATTAAAGAGGAGAATTTTCTCGGAAGCGGTTGCTTAATAATTAATGCACTATAGTCGATTTTTATTAAATTTTGAAGGTATCTCTTATGTAAAGTCCTGAAATTTTTTAATAATATAGATTTAATTATTCTATGTACTATATTTTAATATTTTAGGAAGTTATGGACTAAAGTGAATATATATTAAATTCAATTTTATTTGGACCAAATATTTAGATATTGATATAGTAATGATAAATATATCAATATTGTACTTGATAAGTGTATTTTCTACACTTATTCGGGATTTGAAACTATAGGATTTTATTATTTTTTGTCTTAACATATTTGTAACCTTATTCACATATCTCCCTTAGAAATTAGAAAGAAATCTGTAACATTTTCAGATTAATTTAAAAATTGATATTTTTTGTTATTTTGCATTAAATACTAAAGAGGAGAATTTTCTCGGAAGCGGTTGCTTAATAATTAATGCACTATAGTCGATTTTTATTAAATTTTGAAGGTATCTCTTATGAAAAGTCCCGAAATTTTTTAATAATATAGATTTAATTATTCTATGTTCTATATTTTAATATTTTGGGAAGTTATGGACTAAAGTGTATATATATTAAATTCAATTTTATTTGGGTCAAATATTTAGTTATTGATATAGTAATGATAAATATATCAATATTGTACTTGATAAGTGTATTTTCTACACTTATTCGGGGTTTGAAACTATAGGATTTTATTATTCTTTTAGCAAAATATGACCTAAATTGTGTCACATTACATCTTGTAGGTAAAACTTGATATTTAATGAATAATTTGAGAAAAAAGCAAAATGTAGTGAAAAATGNGAAAAGAAGCGAATTGAAGCGAAAAATGGAGAAATCCAAAGTTTGAGTATTAAATTGCAAATACTCAATGGTTGATTTGGACCTCAAGAAGACACTTTAAAAATTTTTAGGAGATAATTGGATGGAACTAGAATTCAAAAGGGAATGGAATATGATCAAAATATTATCAAAATCAAATTTCAATCACACAAGATATATTCCAAATTTTTAGTCGAAGATTGATACCTTTTTTGGCATAGTAAACGTCTGAATTAGAAAAACTCTATTTCTATCAAAATTGTAGCCATTTGAGTTATCTTTTAAATCACTTTAAATCGTCTCAATCGGATATCAGAAACGATTGTTATGACTAAAATACGGACTGCTGTGTAGAGACAAAAAAATCCGCACGCAAATGCAACTTTCATTATTCGATTAGAACTCTTTTGAAAATCAATTTGGACATGATTTTCAACCAATTTTCGACTCCTACAAATAGAGAATATCAGAATACATATAGAGAACCTCCATAGACCTAAAAATCTCTATATTATACATATTTTGGAGGCGAAGAATATGGCTAACAATGTGGAATCAATGTGAATTGTATAGGATATTGAAAATTCTTCATTCGGATTCAAGATTTATATCAAGAACGTGGATCATTCCTACGTCTTTCATCTTTCTTATGTTCAGGTGATATTTTTTCAATTATTCTTGTATAATTTAATTGTAAAAATGTTAAGCTAGTTTTTCATTGTATTGGATGAATGATGAACCGTATTTCTTATTTGTTTAATTCGAGACAATTAATTTAGTACTTCTTGATTTTTCTTGATTCGTTTTGCATTCCCATTAAACTATTTGATTGCTTGATCACCAATTAGATAGTAAGTTGCTTGTTGTAATATATGAATACT